GATGCAAAAGCAAAATCAGGCAGCTCTTTATCTGAGGCCGTTAGATCATGGGCAAGCGTGTGATTCGCAACCTCACACCCCGCGCGGCGTTTTGTACTGAGGGACGCCGATCAGAGTAATTAGGGGCATGGCCGAGGATTTTGGGCGGGCGTTGAATCGCCCGGATGAAACGGGGGATTCTCGCCTCAGACCCGAGATCGCTTTAACATCAAGGCCGCCTGAGGTGGCTCGAAAGGAAAAATAAGGAAAACTTGAGGGACAAGTTGGGACAGCGTGCGGGGTATAAACAAAATTCCGCTCCACCGTGGTCTTAAGGGCAAGGTGCAACTCAACGGTCAGCCGCGAAAGAGATGGAAACAAGGAAAAGCGAAGATGCAGAATCTACCGCTTCTCTCACGCCATGTTCACGCCAACTTGATTGCAAGGATCCAAGAGACAAGGGACATCTTAGGCCTTCGAGTCGGACTAGTCAAGTCCGCGAGGTCGGCCAGGAGCCTCGTCGCCCGAACCTGGCGAGGCTGGGGCCACCCAAGTTCGGAAGCTCCCCGGTAGGGCTCCCACACTGAGGGAGAGTTCTGGGAACCAAGCCGAACCTTCGCACCCCAGTACCAGCCGCCGCCACGAACATGAGTCTCCTTGCTGACACCAGCGGCAGTTGAATTGGGGCTTCCACGTGGAGTAGGCCGCCGACCAGGGCAGCACCATTAGATCCGTGTAAGGCAAGATCAAGGAGGGGGAAGAAAACCGATCAATCAAAACAAACCCACTCCCCCTTTGCGACAGGCCTTAGACGGGTTAGAGAGATGAACCCGGCCAGTCTGCAATAACGCGTTCTGCACATCCATATCGCAATACACATTGTCCTCATCTGAGATCAGGAAGGGCGGCAGGGTGTTATGGCGGATCAACGAGAGGGTTGAGCACGGGTAATCACCGGCACTCACATTCAGCGTAGCGAAGCTCGACTATATGCAAATCTCAACGGGCCTTACCCCACTCCCTCCCACTTATCAAAAACGCAAGTTTAGGGACACAGTGTCGTTAATCACCAAATCGTTACCAGGACAACACGGCTGTGGCCGGGGAGCAAAGAGATCGGGCTGTTCGACTAGACGTCGCCGCCTGATGTCCCTGGTCACCAACGATCAGCCCAAATGAACGCGGGAAAAACAGACACATGGCACTTGCACGCAAGAGGGGAGAGAGGGAAAAGTTGGCGACGATCCTCCGCGCTTACTGGTAGCGCCGGGATTGGCAAGGGTCAGGAAGTACATTGGACAGAGAAGCATTCATCATCCACAACCCTCGTTACCAACATCATGCATGCGACTGAGTACCCACACTTAGTCTACTGCACACAAGACACTTGGACAAAGCAGCAATGAAGAAAAGAGCAAGTCACTCGCTATTCAAAATTCCAACAGTGCTGGCCTCCCTCAGGCTCAGCCACCAACCAACTCGAACGTCAGCCAACCATAGCCACAAGGCCCTGCCGCTGGCTACGTTCCACCTCCACCACCGCTCGGTCCCTCTAACTGCTTACCCAGACTCTACCACCAATCCCACCCCACGCCGTCACGTCGAGCCTGTTCGGCACCGCGGTCTTCGTGCATAGCTCGTGCAGCATTGCAGCCAGATCAAAGAGGAGGAGAGGAAGGGGCTGTGAGGATTTATAGTGCTGGAAGGCGGCAGGGCACCAGGGGTGATATAGGAAGCAAGGGGTGTAGATGAGCAGGACGGAAGAAAGGAGGAGGTTGGAGTGGTCTTTCAAGCTGCACGCGCAAGTTCGATTTCGCAGCATTGATCCAGCCACTCCAACTGACAACCAATCAATCGCGCGGAGAAGTAAGGGGAGTATCTGACGCAGTGTTGGGGGAAGAGGAAGAGACATGCATGGAAGGTGCTCAGCAAGAAGGGAAGACGGCACGTGCATGCAGAGCAGAAAGTGAGTTTGCATGGCATGCAAGAATTCAGAAAAAAAGAAGCGCGTGTGGAGAAAATTTGAATGTCGGCAACCGACATTCCTAACTGTTTCTTGAATTCCTCTGCGCGGTCGCTAACCGTCTGCGAAGAGGACTAATTTGAACAAGCATAGGGGCAATTCCAAAAATGCATGCATTTACTCCCCAAAAAGCGAAAGATGGACTCCAGTTTCCTTGATCGGCTAAGATCCGTGCTTCGGGGCTTACTTCGGGTTTTACTCCGAAGGGTACACGAAGCCGCGAGGTACGGATCCTAGCTTATCACAAGTGCCCTTTGCTTGGTGTTTTTAATCCTCATCTTATTCGGCAAAAAATGGCCATGACCCAATTAGGGGGGTTGAAGGTGGGGAGCTGGAGGGTGAAGGAGAAGAGACCTCAATGGCTATGGAGGAAGAGTAGGGAGAGGGAGGAGGCGGCTTAGACTATGGTGGTGAAGGGGGAAGAACCCCTACCCGGGCTTTGGTGAAATAGTGAGAGCTTGGCTGTGCGAGGAAGGAGGTGGGAATCGGTAAGGAGGCTCGCCTTTGGCTATGGTGGACTTACATCTTCATCTTCCTGCTTGGTGCTGCATGAAGAAGGCCCCTGTAGAGGGGTAGCGGTTGGACATGGACTTCAATCTAGAGGATAGGCATGGCGGTAGATGAGAGCGGAGGACATGAGAGTCGTTGTCTTGTCCTTTGAAGATCCAAGATAGCGCTGGATGTTCCACCATAGGTAGTAGCCACACCAGGTCGGGAAGAGAGGGAAGTGAGCTAAAGGACAGCTCTTTCTAATCTCATGGTAAAGGGGATCACTCGGACATCGATTCTTGTTTGTTCATCCATTCATTGTTGGTGTTGTTATTCATTTCTTAGTAAAGCGTTGGAGGTCATGAAGAGGGAGAGATGATTTTTATTTTATTTGTTCTTGTTTTAACATCAGAGGGGGGCCATCTTCCTCAGACAGTGGTAAGAGCCCGTGCCTGGTGAAAGGGCCCCTGGATTGATGGCCGTGATCTTATCTGAGGGGAGCAGCAAGTGTTGGGACTCGGGCCCAGCATCCCTTTTTTACATCACATATGGGAGTAGCCTCAATTTGCCAGTCTCTGGGATGCACAAATGATGGTGGCCAGATATGGAGGGAGATGACATTGGTTCCTCCTCCTCCTCCTCCTCCTCCTCCTCTTCTTCTTCTTCTTCTTCTTCTTCTTCTTCTTCTTCTTCTTCTTCTTCTTCTTCTTCTCCTTCTTCTCCTCCTCCTCCTCCTCCTCCTCCTCCTCCTCTTCTCCTCCTCCTCCTCTTCTTCTCCTCCTCCTCCTCTCCTAGAGTCACTCTCATTCCATTCAAGTTGCGATCAATGGCATTCTCCTAGACTCACTCTCATTCCATTCGAGTTGCGATCAATGGCATTCTCCTAGACTCACTCTCATTCCATTCGATCAATGGCATTCTCCTAGACTCACTCTCATTCCATTCGAGATGCGATCAATGGCATTCTCATAATTGAGTTTGCATTATGAGTAGGTTACTACTGTGTTCCCCCGAATACAACGTACGGTCATTATTGCTGTATCTAGACTCAAACTTGCCCCAAATACAGCTATAAGGAGCGTACGCTGTATCCGGGTGAACACAGTAGGAGGAGGTGCTCATATCCCCCCCCCCTCCTCCCCCCCCTCTTGTATGCTGAGGTTTTGCATTAATATGAGGATGAGCAGAAGTAAAGCAGTTTTGATAAAATCCGCCAATCCTCAGCAGAAGTGTCCAACCCCCATTTTTTTGGAGGCCTGTCTGTGGCTGAACTTCTGAGGAGGCTGGAATTCAGGGGGCTCACCAACATTATCAGAACCAAAAAATGCAATGGATGGCATGACCAGCTTGTGGAAGGCTGGTGTCCTTCGGGACATCGGCTAGAATTGGAACAATAAAGAGAAGAAAGATTAGCATGGCCCCTGCGCAAGGATGACACGCATAAGTCGAGAAATGGTCCAAATAATTATAAATAAAAAAAACCGGGAAAATTGCATCTTTACGCCACTTAAAGATCGGAATACCGGCTATACCCAGGCCCAGCGCCAACTTGCGTCTGTACCCAGAAAACGGCTGCTGGGAATCGTTTGCATGCCCAGGACCAAGGTGGATGCAGGTTGGTGCCGCAAAATTGCAGTTATAACCAACTACCGGAATTCACAAATTATGGACATACCCAGGCAAAATTATGGGCATACCTGTGACCTGAGGAGGAGAGGCCAAATTGTTCGTATACCCTGCTACCCGAATGGCTGAAATTATGCTCATACCCAGCAGCAGCCATTGGGCCACAACCGTCTCTTCTTGGTGGGCATGAGCGTAATTTCGTGCTCTGAAACCAGGACCTGCGGGATTGGTTACACCTACAATTTCGCACAGGGGAAAAGTTGGGTACTATGCAAAGTTGAACTCCCACCCCGGGTATATAGATGCAAGTTCGTGCTGGGACTGGGTATAATGGGTATATTCCCATCTTTAAGTGGGGTACAGATGCGATTTTCCCAAAAACCAACAATAACAACAACAACAACAACAACTTGTACGAGGGTGGTCCTCTCACGAAACTGGTGGTGCCTTGCAAATCTGTTATCTTATTCTGGTAGAAAACCTACAGTCCTCACCCGAATAGAACGCCCGGTCATTATCGCTGCATCGGGACTGAAAGTTGGGCCGAATGCAGCTATAATGACTGGGCTTTCTATTCTGCTAGAAAACCTAGCACTGGATCAGACGCTCTGTGGGGTGCATCGTGGTTGTCTCCTGTATTCAGGAACACTTGGATGTCTCTTTTTCTTTCTTTCTTTTTTTTAAACAAGATTGCACGCACATGCAAAGCCTGGTGCAACACAAATCTGGTGAAAATACCAACAGCGGAGAGGTTGGCCTTTTCGTTCTCCTGCCTTACCTGCTCATGGACATGAAACGACAAGGGGGCCTAAACCACTAATTTGGCTAACGACTGGTGGACGGGATGGGGGTGGGGGTGGGGTGTCATTTTTACGCCTTGCAGGAGGTAAAGCTGTGGAACGTTCTGGAAGATGACGGGAGTTGCACCGTCATCGAGAGTGTGCAAGTTACGCGATTCAATTTCTGGTTCCTTTCCGGAGCCATATCTACGCATCTTCACATCGTCCAAGATCGAAAGAAGCACCAGGTCGTTTCTCCTCCCTTAATTAACCTCCCCTCTGTTCTCCATTCCCATCGCATCTTCTAGCCGTCACGAATCACCCCCTAATACCCCTACTAATACCTACTAATAACCCTACTAATAACCCTAGTAATAACCCTACTTATACGCCGAATACCTCTTCTCCGTCTTCCCTCTCTCCTCCCCTTTCTCAACATATGGCAGCATGCCACTTCACTTTGCTGAACAGAAAGGTTTGAAGTGTGAATGGTTGTAGTATTTTCCTTCATGTTTTTTTCTTTCTTTTCTAATCTTTTGTCTGTTTTCTTTGTGGCGAAGGGGGCAAAGGGGAGGAGAGACGGGGTGGTCACCGTGTGTCCCCCCATTCATGCGTGAGGGTGTTGCCTTCGGTTTTTTCTTGGGCCCCCATTCCTCAAGTGCAGCCTACCGACCGCCATGGAGTCATGTACTCAAGTTTCTAGAGTCTAGACCTTTTCTGTTTTCCCCAACCCTAGACACGTCGACATGAGTGGAGCAGGATTTCTGGTCATGGAAACAAATGCCATGATTATGAGATTAGTCATATCGTCGCCACCTGATTTGGCCCATTGCCATTGGAGAAGAGTAGAAGGAGCCAGGACCTGGTTGGACCTGGTTGGACCTGGTTGGACCTGGTTGCAGGACCTGGTTGGACCTGGTTGGACCTGGTTGGACCTGGTTGGACCTGGTTGCAGGACCTGGTTGGACCT